TAAATACAATTCTTGTATTTAATGTAAGTAATTGTACTGGGATATAAATATAAGATAAAAATTAATTCCTAGTGCATATTTAATTTAAATTATCATTTATTACGATAACTTCAAAAAAAAAAAAAAAAAAAAAAAAAAAAAAAAAATATTACGAGTACACCTATAATGGATTATATATGCAGTGGATGTGAAATAGCATTACAGCTATCACAAACGCCAAACTCTTTTTCGCCCTTTTAATTATTTGCTGACTATTCGGTAATAAATCCGTCTATCTGAAATCCCTTACTTTCACTTTATCAATTTGCTTATCTCCGATGCTCCGCCTCATTAGAGCCAGCTAATGAATATCTTGCGGATGCATGTGCGTGCACCCATGGCCCAAAAGGTGCTTCGCAGTTGCATCACCATCATGACGTCACAGATAAGTGAACTCACTCGTGAATGCGATGTGAGGCTGTCATGTGATAGAAGTGCGATAGTCGTGCTATAGACGCGGAAAGTGCAGCAGCCCATCGGGCGAATCGAGTCGCGTGGCTCGATGTCGGTGGGAAGGGGGCGGGTTGTGGGGAGACTGATGGGGGTTTGAGTGGGTGAAGGGGCCGAGCCCTGGCCTTTGCTGTGGCATTGACGCCGCTTAGCGCAAGCTCGAGTACTTTGCTAAATGCTTTTGTACAGCTTGCAGCGCTTTTTATTCTACTTTTTTTTTTTTTATTTTTTTATTTTTTTTTTTTGTTTGTTTTGTTTTACAAATCGCGATGCACAATCAGATGGACATTTATGGCTTTTTATCTTTTTATATTTTTAGAATTTCGATAGCTGGTGGTACCATACGCGAAGCCGAGAGTCCCATATGCTTTGGTAGGAGAATTTTTCATTTTTTTGTCGATATTGTTATAGCTCTATTCAGCAGGTTTTGTTGCCATTGTAACAGCTACTCGTAGTCTACGGAATCTTTTGCCAGAAATGGTTTATAATGCCTATCCACATGAATTTTAAAAGTAAATTTATAAAATATCTTCTATCTATGTTAATGCCTTATTCTTCTTAAATCTTGTTTTATAAGATATATGGGAGTGAATATATTGATACACATGGGAGTGATAAAGTAGCAGTCTGTACGGTAGTTGGTTAAGTGATATCCATAAAGAGTATGAATTATTCCATCGGACGTTTACGCTACATCGGACTTTTCTGAGCATATTCATGATTGATTGCGTTCCATGAACGAATGAAACGTGGACTAATTTAACGTGGACAACTTTGTTTATATGTAAAAAAAAGACACGTACTACATGTTCACCTGGAAAGATGTACTATTGTGAGATTCACTACTACATACTACAACGAGTAAAGCCAAGCTCATCCCTTTTCCATGAATAATGGGACCTATAATACAATTTCCACATACAAATCACTTCGTATCCATATGTATCCTTATAAGATTGGCTCGGTCCACCTATCTCTCTCTCTCTCTCTCTCTCTCTCTCTCTCTTACACTGTTATCCTGTTACCCTCTGGGCTGATTGGTACATTGAACTAAAATCTGATAATACATAGATCTTTTATAGCACATTTAATTGTCTGTTCAGTCTATTTTACTTTTTGAAATTATTTCAAAAACCTTTAATATTACATGAAATATAATAACCAATATTAATATTACTTGTTGAATTATACACATCATATTATAAATCAGTTTTTATTGGTATAAATTTGATTTAATTACATTTATTTTATATTATTTTGTTCAATTATGTAGATTGTAGTTTTTAAAATCTACTTTCATGGTAAAATTTATTAACATTAAATATCGACTTTACTCTTTGTTTAATTTGTATATCATTAATTGTTTATTTATTTTATTTTATCTATTATATTATTATTTATTCTGTATATTAAATCAAAAGTTATATATATAATTTCTACATATATTTATCTATATATTATATAGGGATAACTAAATTCTCAAATTACATCATAATTGATAATTGTTAAAAATCTTTGCTATAGATACGTTCTTAATACATAAAGATTGTAATTATTATTTTAATAGAACTTTAATTATTTCTTTCTGCAAAGTGTTATTTACTTTATTCTATATGAATCGAAAGAGTGGAATTAAGTGGAATTTCTGCATGTAAAATAGACCGATAATTCGAACGCTATTGTTCGAGATTGAGAAAATGTCTCATGTAATTTTTTGGGAAGAATACCAAGGGTCATAACTTTTAAAAAAAATTCTTCCACGCTCATCGGAGGCTCGGAAAGCGCAGTAAACGACCGTTGGTTTTAGCTAGCAAGAGCGCGCCGAGTCTGTTTATGCGAGAATATGTCAAGAGTGAGAGAAATATATAAACAATCG